GTCAGCATTGTGGCATAGTGGATCAAGCCACCGCCTGCAATACCAAATCCCATGTGGGCACCAGTTCAAGTCCCAGCTCCTACACTTCCGATCCAACTCCCTACTAATGTGTCTGGGAAAGCAGCAGAAGAAGGGCCAAGTGCTTGACCCCTGCCATGCATGTGTGAGACCCAGATGGAGTTACTGGCTCTTGGCTATGACACTAGCATCCCATATTGGGGCTCGTTCGTGTCCCAGCTACTCCTCTTCCAATCCAGCTCACTGCTGATGGCGTGGGAAAAGCAACAGAAGATGGCCCAAGTACAACTATACTCAGCTCTGGCATTGTGGGTATTTTTAGGGTAAACCAGTGTATGGGAGTTCTTACTCCTTTCTATCTGTTTTGCTAATAAATAGTTAAAACTTTAAAATAAATAAAATGTATGTTAGATATTTTCCAAAATTTTGTTTGATGCAAAAATGCATTAATCAAGTGATGGAAATTTGATGGTGCCATATCCATTCCATTATATATAATATATATATATAATATACAAAATAAACATAATGGAGGTGCATGTTCCCATTTACACATGAAGCAGTATTTTTAACACTTTATTCCTTAAATGTGTGGGAGGAAACAATCAGCTATCAATCAATCATATTGGACAGGGTTTAGATCCAGAAGGATCACATCCAGTTTCAGATTATGAATGAAAATAAAAACAAAGGACTAAGGGTCATACACTTATTAGCCAATAATATAACAAGTAATCATTGTTCTCATTTCAAGATTCTCTGTAAATTATATTAATTCTACAAATAGCATGCCAAGGGTATAATTGTGAAATACACCATAGAGGTAGCTTGTGCTCACTCAAATAGCCCTTCTCCATTCCTGAGCACGGGAGAGGGCTAATGAGGGGATTCAACTCCGCAGCTTTCTGGCATTGAGGATGACCATCCGACTAGTTCTAGCCTATGGAATGAGATTCGAGAGGAGGTGTGTTATTTCCAGATGAAAATATCTGTGAGTCAGTACCAGTTCCATGGTCTCTCTTCCCGTGCTGGGGTAACACTGGAAACCCCACATAGAGATGGTAGAACCAGGAGATGAAGGGAGCCTGGATTCCCACACCTTTGCTTGGAAGAGATGTCTACGAGAAGAATTGAACTCTTACTCAGTCAAATCTCTGAGACCTACTGCTCCTTTTCTCCTACAACATACACTCCTATAACGGACATAAAATTGCAGTAAAGAAGAAGTGAATTCACCTTCTACTTTGATTTCTTATTTTGACTTCCTTTCTTCATCTAGTTTTCCTACACAAATTCCTCCTTCCTTAAGTTTTAAATGTTTCCTAAAAGCATTTTAGGTCTTAATTACCAAAATGATTTATTTTTATCAACTATAGTCTTTGCTTCTTAGCTCTGTGAAGTTTGGAAGGTTCTTAACCGCCTGAACCTGTATCCCTTCATCTGCAAAATGGGAAAAAAGCACCTTCTTTCAGAGTTGTGGTAAAGCCTTGCAATCAACTATGTGAGCCACAATGCCTGGCAGAGTGGAAGCTGGCCTTTTCTCTCTTCACAGGTGCCTCAGGATAGCAACTTCCAGAAGGCAGACACGAGGACAGGTCTACTCTCCAGCCCTCCATCTAGCATAGGGCTAATACTCGGTACAAAGCAACAAAGAGTTGTCAAAAACTATTGCAAAGAGAATGTAAAATAAAGCACTAATCAAATAAGCTAAAAGAATCCATTAAGGAACTTTTATACGCTACCACTGTCTGAAAAATTCTAGCCTAAGTTGAAGCTAACTGCTCCCCTTCCTCCTACCATTACATAGAGAATTGGCAAATGAAATTTGCTAATTCAACAAAGGTCCTAGACATCCTAATAGCTCGCCTACAAGAAGTACTAGATTTTACACACATTTTCCTTAATGAAATCTTCTTGGTGACATTACTTCAAACTTACTTAATCTCATAACCCATTGGTAATGAAGTAGTTAAAAATCATAGATCATTACATTTAGTTTACATCAGGATGAAAGACATTTTGCAACATAAACACCAATTTCCAAAACCAGGAAAGCATTTCAACCATGATCACAGGGAATGCTCTTCACATTTAGTTTCTGCTAAGTTTCTTTACTTTCTCATCTACTTCAAAATAAAGCCCCAAATACAATAGCTTCCTTTCATAAGGCTCTTTATCTACAACACAAATACAACCCCCAAATAGCGTGCTTGTTCCATTGCCATTGGAACACATCCATGCACACTTCTGTATCTGACAGCACGTTTCCACAGTGTATGAGAAGCCATCAGAGGCAATCTTTTGATGAAAAATCTGCACCTCACCTGGGACTACCCAGGGATAGTTTCAGTTACTTGATTTTTCAATAAAAACACCTGGGACTACTTGAGGGTAAAACTGCTTGACAATACCAAAGACTCCACGTGGCTCCTACTCCATTTTTTAAAAGTTTGTTAACTATTTTAAGCCATACAACACAGGAAGCTAAGGGCACTAATTACAAGACATTTTTATTATAAGGAAGGACATTGAAAATGATGATAAAGCTACCAAGACTTGAGAAATTGGAAATCCTCTTGAAAGTAAGAATTTCTTGTGTCTGGCTGTGGTCACTGTTCTCAGAGAACACAGCAGGTACTTAGAAATGACAGGTGCCAGGAGCGGCAGGGTTACCAATGTCACTTGTGTGCCCTACCTCCCACCAATACTGACAAGAATGAGTACCTGCTCACTCACCTGTGGGGCCTCTTCTCCCCACCTAAAAGACAAGACATGCCTATCGGCGAGACAAAGAATACTCAGGCTTTAGGCAAACATTGGCTGAATCACTGTCTTAAGCAATGGAAACAGAGTATTGCAAAGATCAATCTTCCGGGTCAAAAGTGAGAGAAGAGACCCACAGTAACACCATCAATAGATGTTCCACAAAGATCCTAAGGCAACTCAATGAACACAAGACCATCCTTTCAACAAATGGTGCTGAGACAATTGGATATCAGTAGAGGAAAACAGCACCTCAATGCTTACCTAACACTACATGCAAAAATTCTCTCAAAGTAGATCAGAAATCTACATGAAATATGTAAAACTATTAAATGCCTAGAACAAACAAGAGAACATCAATGTAACATTGGGTCAGGGAAAGACTTCTTTACCAGTACCCAAAAGCATAAGCTATAAAGGCTAAATTGATAAAGGGGACTTCAACAGATTAAATGCTGTTGTCCTTTGAAAGATATAATTAAGAACACAAAAAAGGCTACCACACTCCAAAACATATACTGGATAATGAGCTTGTTTTCACATTTACTTAAAGAATTCTTACAACTTAGTCCAAGAAATATAAATAATTGGGTTTGAAAACTGGGAAAGAGTGGGCATTGTGGCACAACAGGTTAAACTACCACTTGGGACATCCACATCCCATATCGAGTCTGGCTGCTCCACACTTCCAATCCAGCTTCTTGCTAATGAGCCTGGCAGGCAGCAGATAAAAGCCCAAATACCTGGGTCCCTGCTACCCAAGTGGGAGGACCAGGATGGAGTTCCAGACTCCTGGCTTTAGCCTGGCCCTGCCTCAGCTGTTGCAGCCATTTGAGGAGTGAACCAGCAAACAGATCTCCCTGTCTGTCCCTCTCCCTGTCACTCTGCCTCTCAAATCAATCAATCAATCTTTAGAAAAATGGTAAAAAGTTGAACAGACTCTTCATAAAGAAATTGTAGAAGGGGCCAAATAAATGAACGAAACAATATTCAACATCACTAGACATCAGAAACAGGCAAACTCAAACCAGAATCAAACACCACCACATATCCACTAAAAGAAAAGTAAAAGAACCAAACAGTAGTTTCAGCAAGGGTATGGAGACAGGAATCCTCATCCATTGATGTGGGAATGGAAATGAAATAGCCACTTTGAAACACTTTATGACAGTACTTTATAAAGTTAAACATCCATTTACCACATGGCCCAGCAACTCCAGACCCAGATATTTACCCAAGAGAAATGACCGCCTATGTCCACATTAGGACACATACATGAATGTTCCCAGAGGGTTATTCAGAATAGCCCCAAACTGGAAGCAATCAAATGCCACCAACTGGTGAAAAGCTAAGCAAATAGTGATATACACTTAAAATGGACTGCTATTCAGCAATTTCAGTCAATTATTAATGCAACCAACAATATAAATGACTCTCAAAGGCATGCTAAGTGAAGGAAGACAGAAGACAGCATATACTCCATTTATGTGAAATTTCAGAAAAGGCAAAACCACAGTGACAGAAGGCAAAGTGGTGCTCACAAAGTGTAAGAGGAGAGGGCTTCAGATGCAAGAGGTTTCAAGGACACTTTAAGGTGAGGGAAATTTCTATATGTTAATGCTGACATTGGTGACACAATTGTATAAAGTTACCAAAATTATCAAGGCATGCATATGGAACTTGTGAGTTGAAAACAAGCAATCAAGCCAAGATTTTCATCTCTGCAAGGTTTATGGGCCCCTGGGAGGAGTATATTGTCTCTCTTTGGAAGGTACAAAGTGCACGGGTGCACACACACACACGCTCCTTCCTGAGTAATCAATCATGCAAAGTTTTCAAGAGTTGTATCGTTTTGACAAAGAACAGACAGGCAGCATCTCTGGCTACCCACCATTTGGAAAGTTACAAAGCAGAGGAGGACAAGGACAAGGTAAAGACTTCACCAAGCCAGACGTTCCCATGGCAACATTTCCTAATTTCTCATGAATATTTCATTCTAAGATTAAAACTAAAACAATTTGTCACATATGAATCAAGAAAGATCAAAATATTCCCCATACACAGACACATGGAATGAAAGAATACAACAACACACAGAGAAATACTTCAAAAAAAATCCTACACTCACAGTTTCATGCGCGTAATACACTTGCAAAGAGAAAAAACCCTGAACCGGGGCTGTGGAGCTGGGTTCCCGAAGCACGGGAGTGAGGACTCACCTCCGTGGCCCCATCCTTGAAGCTCTCGCTGTAGGTGCTGTCCGGGGTGCTGCGCTGGTCCTCCTTGAGGTAGGTGCTGTGTGCGGCTATGGCAGGCACATCGTACTGAGTCTGTTCAAAGATGACCACGCGCTGCTCCTCGCCGTCTCCCCGCGGGTAGTGCACTGGTGGGGTCATGAACACCGGCGTGAAATCTTCTGCCTTCACCACGGCGATGCCGGACACGGGGATGACGGCGGGGCTCTCGGGGATGCTGCCGCTGTACTGGTCTCGCTTGGAATTCTCCAGGTGGTCTTGGTTTAGGCAAAGGTTCACTGGCACAGTCTTTAGGACCTGCACTCGGTTCTCTCCTCCACTCAAATTGCTCTGGGCTTCACTGGTGCCAAGACAGTTTCTGTGGGTTCAAACCCACCCCCCGGGGCAACATGGCAGAATTAGCAAAATTGCCGCTGGGCGATTCCTAGTAAGATAACCAACGCAGGCAGTGAGAGTGGATGCTGATGGCATGGGGGAAAGGCTGGTGAACTTCCCAAGGGAACGCAATGGCTCTTTGCATCACTAGAAGTCAGACAACTATTCCTGCGTTCCCCACTGTGCATAAAAACATCTCCCTTAGACCTAAGTTTCATCCCTCAGGAAACACAAGAGCTCATGAAACACAGAAGAATGACTGAAAAACATCCAAAAGAGGCAATCAGAGCCGGCGCCGCCGCTCACTAGGCTAGTCCTCCACCTTGCGGCGCCGGCACACTGGGTTCTAGTCCCGGTCGGGGCGCCGGGTTCTGTCCCGGTTGCCCCTCTTCCAGCCAGCTCTCTGCTGTGGCCTGGGAGTGCAGAGGATGGCCCAAGTGCTTGGGCCCTGCACCCCATGGGAGACCAGGATAAGTACCTGGCTCCTGCCATCGGATCAGCGCGGTGCGCCGGCTGCGGCGGCCATTGGAGGGTGAACCAACGGCAAAGGAAGACCTTTCTGTCTCTCTCACTGTCCACTCTGCCTGTCATACATACATAAATAAATAAGTAAAAATAAAAATAAAAATAAAAATAAAAAGAGGCAATCAGACAAACCAGAATGTGGCTCAGATTACTGACCTAATCTCCTGAACAAGTCAGACATGGGGGAAAAAAAGAGAAAGGGTGGGAAGTTGGTAGATTAAAAGGGATTTAAAATGGGAGGAACAGACTATTTGGATGCTCATTCATGAGATGTTTGAGGCAACTGAATATGGACTGAGAATTAAGTGATACTAAGAAAATATCGTTAATTCAGCAACATGTGGTAATAATTTCAAGCTTATACAATAAAATGTTGTTTTTCTAGAGATGCAAATCTTAGGTAGTTAGCCATAAAATGATGTGATGTCAGTAACGTATTTTAAATACTTGGCAATAAAAAAAGGAATGAGGGAAAAGATATCAAGCAGATATAAGAAAAATTGATCAATGCTTATCTGGGGGATGGGATGGATATTTAGGGGTTCAGCATACTGTCCTATGTATTTCTGTGTGTGTTTGGAAACTTTCAAAAGAAAAAGCATTAAAATGCCATTAAAAAATAAGGAGAGACAGAGAGGGAGAGACAGAGACAGGGAGAGCGTCCACTTACTGGTTTACTCCCCAAATGCCTGCAACAGTTGGGGTTGGCTAGGCTGGAGCAGGAGTCAGGAAGTGCATGGGTGGCAGGAAACCAGACACCTAGGCCATCACCTGCTGCACCCAGGTGCATTAGGATGGAGCTGGATCAGAAGCGTAGAGCAGATGGGACTTGAACCAGGCATTCTGAAATGGGATGTGGCCGCCTCATGCGGTGGCTAAGCCATTGCACCACAATGTACATGTCCCTAGTTTTTTCAGATAAAATTTCAAAGTGAAACTTGAAAGAATGGTTCCATGTGAACAAAGCCAATGGAAAAATATCTGAACATCTCTGAGTTGGACACAGATCTGGAAATACAGTTATAGGAGATAACCCTCCAAGAAATACTATCACAAATTTACAAGCATTCTGGTTTTAAATAATAACCTATCTTCATGGCCAAATCCATAGAGTGATCTGGATGCATGCTAAAAATTCAGAAAATGTATTTAATTTGAATCCAGTTAGCTGAAAAATGGCAAAGCTCCAACCACCCATTTAGATCAGCATTTCTTAGAGGCTGTTGCTTAGAACATTGCATAGGATGTTATTAGACAACCCTCAGAAAAAGGAGTCTGACAAAAGCCATACTAAGTAACAAACAAAAATACAGCCTTAAGAATAGGACCACCCTGGGTGACACAAAGATCAGGAACATAGGGGACCCTTTGTGGAGGAATGGCTCTGAGTACCTGTAGATACCATCTTACAGGCTAGGAGTAGATGCATTGGGCTGCACTGATTTACTACCAAAGCAATCCACTCTGGGCTTTGTACACACATAATCCTGGTGGCTTTGCCAAACCACTCAAACTTAATCAAACTTCTTCATTCTTTAATTCACACAAAACATGAATTCTAGATGTTGGTCCTAGCGGCTGGGACATGGGGTGAGACACCCATGTCCCTCATTGGAATACCTGGGTCTAGCGTCTGGCGTTAGCTCCTAAGCTCTACTTCCCAGGAGCCAGCAGGGATAACTCAAGTAATTGGGTTCCTGACACTTGCATGGAAGACCTGGATTGAGTTCCTGGTTCTAGGAGCTGATCTGGCCCCGTCCCTGTTGTTGCAGATACTTGGTGATTAAGCGAGTGGATGAGAGCTCTCTCTCTCTCCCTCTCTTCCTCTTGGAAAAATAAGAAATTTTTAAAAACATGAATTCTGAACAAAGAACCTAAGTCAAAAATGTTTTGGTGTTCTGATAAACAAATAAGCATCATGGTTGTATAAATCTCATCACATTTTTATTCCCAGGAAATAAGAACTTCAGCACCACCCTAACTTGCATACTATGCCTCTGGGAAAGGAAGAGATTTCCAGAGAACTTCAGGAAACTGGATAATTAGAACCAGGTAGCAATTGTTCCCAGACACTGCAACAGACTTTACAATGAAAACGAGTGTGAGAAAAATGGAAGAAAAAAATACATGGGGTGAGTGTCTGGCACAGCAGTTAAGTAACTGGGTTCCCACTTCTCATTCCAGCTTTCTGCTAATGTGCAACCTGGGAAGTAGCAGGTGATGGCTCAAATACTTGGGTGCTTTCCACCCACGTGGGAGACCCAGCTAGACTTTTGGGCTCCTGGCTTCAGCCTGGCCCAGCCCTGGCTGTTGTGGACATTTGCAGAATGAACCAGAGGATGGAAGATTCTCTCTCTCCTGCTCACTTGCTCACTTTCAAATAAAAAAAAATTTAGAAACTTTTTTTAAAGAAAAAGTATAATGCTGAGAAAGATGTGTCAAATATACTTTGTGAAAATTTGGGTCACATTTCATTGAGATGTTATTTCTCCAAGTAGCAATTTTTGGGACAAAAGTTGTAATGATATCATGTTAAGCACCTGGCACCTTACTTCCTGAATACATGACTGATCCAAATGATATCTTTCCAAATTACAGTGAGATGTCTACCTAATCGTAATTTGTCTACACAAGGTGGGTTAGTCTATACTTCACTGCCAGTTTTTTTTTAAAAGGTGCTCTGTGGAAATCCTCAAAAAAAAAATCATCAAAATACAGTGAGTATTGTCATAGTCACTTTGTAATGCAGTTCTGAAAGGTGCTTTAACAGAAAGGGGCCTCCCTTGTTATGTGCAATGCAGAGAGAGCAAACAGCTCAGACTCACTGGGATTACTGCCATAGGGCTTAGCAGGCAGCACAAGCTCACCTCCACCAAACAGGCTAGATCAAGGAAAAATCCAGGAACTGAAGAGTGTTAGCCTCCTGCTCCCTCTCATCACCCTGCTGACAAGGTCCCTGGACCTCAGGGCAGTGTGGAGCTTCAGAAGGCCCGAGTGGAACAGCAAGTGAGGTGCCTACAGCCTTAACCTCCTGCCAGGAGTGACCAGCTGCACAGCCCAGGCCTGCTGACCAGTGGAACAGCCCCTGCTGCTCGTCAGAGAACAAGATCATAGTGTTTCAAGAGCTCCAAGCAAGGCCAGGTAAGGTTTTGCCACCTGTGCAAGCAGGGGTTTTCTCTCTCCTGGCTTCCTAGTTCCCTGTGAAAGAGCTTCCAACCAGAAGCCCCTGTGACTTCTCCCCCTCCCAGGCAGGGCAAGAGACTTATTTGGTGATAACTTTAGGACGGTCCTTGTTTTGTCTGAATCATCCTAGCTCAAGAGAAGGACCCTGCAGTGCCCCTCGCTGCAGCACCACTAGCGTGAAATCGTGGCTGGGACTGTGCGTGGACTTCCCCCAGCAGTTACTGCCCGCACCGTACCTTTTCTCCTGATCTTCTTGACTGTCAGCTGCTTTGCTCACAGACAGCAGCCTCTTGTCTCGAGGAACCTGGAAAGACCACCAACCATCAGTCAGACTCACACATAGGCAACCATGATCCTGGGCAGAGCTAGACGTCAGCCTAACCAGAGAAACTCAAATGCAACGCTCGTCTGGAAGAGGTGGCAAGTGGGCTGTCACCGAGAGATGCCTGCGTGGCTATGATGGTGGAGCCAGAGACCGAGGGGTGCTGGCGAGCACAGGGCCACAGCAAACAGCATTCAGCTGCTCAGCCCTGGCCTCAGCAAGGCACCCTGGCCCTGAGCACTTTAAGTGTCCTCCTCGCTTGTGAGTGGATGAAGGGCAAGAAGCAATGTGTATGGCATCAACCTGGACATGGTGCCCCCTCGAGCAAGGGGGAAGCATCATGGAGGTTACAACAAGCATCATGTTACAGAACAGGAACTGCGTCTTCTCGCGGATGAGCAGCTGCAGGTGCTGATGTGGGGTAGGGCAGAAATCACACAGGGCGCTGCACTGTTTGTTAGTCAATGGGAAGAACGCAGCTAATGTAGTGGCCAATGCTTGGACCAGCTCTTTAGGTGGCTCATGCACTTGCTTCTGTGATTTCTTCCTAATGCAGTTTTATTATTATCATCACAATCATGATGCCAGCATAGTTTCTGAAATATTACCGAAGAAGTGCTACTTTGGGGAAGGCACCTCCACCTGCTGTGTGCTGTGTTGCTGACCATCATCTCATCACCTGCTGTACCATGGGGGTTCTTCACTCTGCCATGGTTTCCACACAAGGAACCCTGGATTTGGTTGGTGGATGTTTTGCTTGTTTCTGCTATTTTGCTAGATTTCCAGATCTTCCTTCTATCCAAACTCCTTTGCATCCCAAATGCAGCTACGTTATTTGGGGATGAAAGCCCATTTACTTGCCGGCGCCGCGGCTCACTAGGCTAATCCTCCGCCTAGCGGCGCCGGCACACCGGGTTCTAGTCCCGGTCGGGGCGCCGGATTCTGTCCCGGTTGCCCCTCTTCCAGGCCAGCTCTCTGCTGTGGCCAGGGAGTGCAGTGGAGGATGGCCCAGGTGCTTGGGCCCTGCACCCCATGGGAGACCAGGAAAAGCACCTGGCTCCTGGCTCCTGCCATCGGATCAGCGCAGCGCGCCGGCCGCAGCGGCCATTGGAGGGTGAACCAACAGCAAAGGAAGACCTTTCTCTCTGTCTCTCTCACTGTCCACTCTGCCTGTAAAAAAAAAAAAAAAAAAAAAAAAAAAAGAAAAAGAAAAAAAAGAAAGCCCATTTACAAGAAGCATTCCTCTATAGGTCTTCCCTGATCATTCTTATAGCTTGCACTCACCACAATATGTATGCAAGCCCAGAGCAGGGTGGCTGGCTAAGAGTTGAGACCTACAACCTGGTCCCGGAGTTTGAATCTCGGCTCTACCACTGCTTAACCGTTATCCCACTGTCTTCATTTATTCAAGTGGAAATGATCGTTGTATACCTCACAGGGTTGTTTGGTAACATTGAATGAGTTAATTTTTCAAGCTCTTAAGGTGCTTAGTATTTTATAAGTACTTCTAAGTAAATCAACTGTAAATCCTTCATTTCTTATGTCAATTTTCAGGTATTGCTAAGTGCCAGATTGTAATGGGATGAATAAAACATAGTTCCTGGGACTGGCGCCGGGCACAATGGGGTTAACACCCTGGCCTGAAGCGCCAGCATCCCACGTGAGCTCTGGTTTGAGACCTGGCTGCTCTACTTGCGAACCAGCTCTCTGCTATGGCCTGGGAAAGCGGTAGAAGATGGCCCAAGTCCTTGAGCCTCTGCACCCATGTGGGAGACCCGGAGGAAACTCCTGGCTCCTGGCTTCAGATCGGCATGGATCTGAACATTGTGGCCATCTGGGGAGTGATGGAAGACCTCTCTAACTCTGACTTTCAAATGAGTAAATAAATCTTTAAAAAAAAAAAAAAACATAGTTCCTATCACATAGTGAAGATGGAAGATGACCGATGAACAGAAAACATCAACACCCAGAGCACCAATGTTCATTGCAGCTCTCTCCGTCAGAGTCCAGAAGGAGACCACCCAAGCGCCCATCACTGAAGAATGGATACGCATGATGTCTTCTATTGGTACAATGGAATGTTCCTCAGCACTACAAAGGAATGAAATTCTGACACGAGGCAGGTGAACCTTGAAGACATTTGGTTCACTAGAGTAAGCCGGACACCAAAGGGCAAGTACTGTATGATTTCATTTACAGAGTGGCCAAATGCAAAGAGATAGCAGGTAGAATAGAAATCCCCAGGGGTGGGGGACAAAAGGATGAGGAGTGATTGGTTAGTGGGTGCAGAGTTTCTGTTTAACAGGGAAGCTGAGAAATGGTCTATGACAAGTAAAACCAAAGACATAAGGTTTCCAAATACTAAAATATGCTGGCAACTCCCAGAGATCCATGGAAGTGAAGTCATCATTGCCAGGGGTCACTGATACACGCCCTGAGCAGACAGCCGAGCTCACGACAAGCTGAGCAGAGCACAGTGGAGGCACCGCCCACCTTTGGGATGGCTCCAACCTGGGCCTCTCTACACCACGTTGGCCTTTGATTTTGTACACTTTAGAGAAGCTGAGACCTGTAACTAGACCCCTTCTCTTGAGTCCTAGACCCAGACATTCCTGATTGGACAATGTACAAGCACAACGAACTCAACACACAATTACCTGCCTCCCCCAAAGCCTTTCTCCTTATCCCTTACCTGGATTAACCCAGGAATCATCTTCAACAACTTGCTCCCAGATATGAGCTCCACCCATACACACACACACACACACACACACACACAGTTGCCAGCTTTTATTCAAAGAAACACTGAATGATCTCTAGAATATACTGTGTTGTCTCTATGTAGTGCTTGTTTTGGTGGCTAGTTTAGGAAGAATTCACACAAGGGCTAATCCAGGGACTCCGCACCATCATGCTCCTATTTCAGGTCTTCATGGATTTTCTGTGGACTCTTGCAGTGACCTCCCACTGGATTCTCTGCCCCTGCCCCTCCCCCATCACTGCTGTGTAATGTGTGTTGATAATTTCTCCGATTTATAAAGCCTAGCTTCAAAATCCTTTGGTATTGGAGGAAATGATTCTGATAAAAGGATTACAGACATTTCATTTTCTTTAAGGTTCTTGCATTTTCTATAAAGTGTATATAGAAACTTCAAGTGAAAAGCCGGGCTGTGGCGTAGTGGGTAAAGCTACTGCCTGCAGTGCCGGCATCCCATACAGGTGCTGGTTTGAATCCCAGCTGCTCCACTTCTGATCCAGCCCACTGCTATGGCCTGGAAAGCAGTAGAAGATGGCCCAAGTCTTTGGGCCCCGGCACCCATGTGGGAGACTTGGAAGAAGCTCCTGGTTCCTAGCTTTGGATCAGCTTTTGGATCAGTTGTTATGATCATCTGGGGAGTAAACCAGCAGATGGAAGACCTCGCTCTTTCTCTCTCTGCCTCTGACACTCTGTAACTCTTTCAAATAAATAAATCTTTTTTAAATTCAAAAAAAGAAAAGCTGATATATCAAAACATCAAGCTGTATAGCTTAAATAGCTACAATTCCCATTTGAAAGCTATACTTCAGCAAGACTGGAAAAAAGAAAAGTAGAGAAGTCCCCCCCCCCCCACCCCAACAGCTTGTGAATATTTATCAGGTCATTTGTTCATTCATGCTACCAAAAAAAAAAAAATGTCCCATCTAACCCTGAACTCCATCTTCCTGGCAAGAATTCAAGAGGGATCTTTTGCTTTTCTGACCAGTCCCAACTCCTCATTCCCTCACTCACCCTCCCCAAGTTCAGCGGTTCTGATCACTGAGGTTCTTCTGAGTGCTGTCTGGGTTTTCATACCCATTTGTTCTCATCTGCTGTTCTCTTAGCGTGAAATGCTCTCTTCCTTATTTGTCCACCTGACAGACCTTCTCCTGCTCTGGGAGAGTAGACAATGTTTTCTTAGGAAAGTCTGTGGATTCCTTGTGAAGCTGTCACTCAACTCACTGCTGCTTTTACAGCCCATCACCTCCACACACTATGGTTTCAGTTTACATGACCGTGTTTGTCCTGCACTATGAGTGTGTGACCTCTCTGAGGTACTGAACTGGGTCTCACTGGCAACTCATCCTCAGAACATCTGTCACTATTGCTGGAAGGTCATAGCTAATTAGTTGGATAGCTAGATGGACAAACCCACATACCGGTTTCCAGCAACACCAGGTCAGTAGAACAGATCTTAACCAATCAAGGAAGTAAACTTTCTCAAGGGAAAAGTAAGATAAAGTAAGTTGCTATGGTTTCAATTTGAATTCATGTGTTGGAAACTTAAACCCTCAAATTCATCTTAATGCCATCTGGAGGTAGAGTGTTTGGAGGGGATCTCCACTAGGAGAAAAGGAGAAAGTCTGTAACTGTAAAGCTGTATAGTTCTGCATACAGTCCAATGGACTTACTTTTTTTATTTGACAGAGTTAGACAATGAGAGAGAGAGAGAGACAGAGAGCAAGGTCTTCCTTCCGTTGGTTCACCCCACAAATGGCACTGCAGCCGGAGCTATGCCGATCTGAAGCCAGGAGCCAGGTGCTTCCTCCTGGTCTCCCATGGGGTGCAGGGCCCAAGCACTTGGGCCATCCTCCACTGCCCTCCCAGGCCACAGCAGAGAGCTGGACTGGAAGAGGAGCAACCGGGACTAGAACCCAGCGCCCATATGGGATGGAGGTAGAGGATTAACCAAGTGAGCCACAGCGCCGGCCCCCAATGGACTTACTTCTAAGGGTACAGTTTAAAAACTTGTTCATGGGACTTCTAAATCCCATTAAGCTTGGAGGTAAAAATGCCATCTTAAAGTGAGCATATTAAGTGCCATAATGAACATATAGATAGCTTAAGTGTTAAAGTGACCATATCAATAGGATCAAGTTCCTGGTAATAATAAAATAATTAAAAAGGAGAGAATGTCCAATGTGGGAAGCAGTCCACACAGCAGACTCACAGAATGACAATCACTTTAAGTAAACACTCTGACCTCAGAATCAACCCTAAGGCTTCCTGGTCTGGCTGACAAGCCCGTGAGAGCCTTTCAGGCATGGAAAGCCAAGACACTGTGGCAAAAAATGTTCTACATGAAAGATCTCTGTGGGTGAGACACCAGTGGAAAGAAGTAGTCATCAAAGAAGGATTTACTTTTCTCTGAAGGGAGGAGAGAACTTGCAGTTTGCTTATGGCCTTGTCTAAATATGTGGACTCAAAAGGCTTCCATAGTCTAGGCAGCTCATGTCAAGAGCCTTGGGTCATCACTGACGTCATACATAAGAGTGTTAATTGTTAAATTAACAACAGGAGTCACTGTGCACTAACTCCCCATGTAGGACCTCTGTCCTCAATGAGTTGTATTCAGAGTTAACTGTAAAACTTACTCTCTGTGTGTGTATATGCAAACTGTTGAAATCTTTACTTAGTATAGACTTTGTCTTCTGTGTACAAAGTTAATTGAAAAATGAATCTTTGAGACCAGCACTGTGGCACAGCAGGTTAATGGCCTGGCCTGAGTGCTGGCATCTCATGTGGGCGCAGGTTCTAGTCCTGGCTGCTCCTTTTCCAGTCCAGCTCTCTGCTGAGGCCTGGGATAGCAGAAGATGGCCCAAATCCTTGGGCCTCTGCACCCATGTGGGAGACCCAGAAGAAGCTCATGGCTCCTGGCTTTGAATCTGCTCAGCTCTGGCTGTTATAGCCATTTGGGGAGTGATCCAGCAGATGAAAGACTTCTCTCTCTGTCTCTCCCTCTGTCTATAACTCTGCTTCTCAAATAGAGAAAATCTTAAAAAAAAATCTATGTACTCTAAATGATAATGCAATATCAACAGTTACAATAATTTAACTTCCTAACATTTATATACAGAAGAGCTTTCTTTGCTTCATTTTCATCCAAAGCATCAGCATGGACAAGCTATGAACAACCAGAAAACTGACAAAGGTCTCAAAATGATCACTTCGAGAGAGTTTTTTGGAAATGACTACTTCTTTCCACAGACACTAAGCTACTTCAAGCAAAAAAAAAAAAAAAAAGCAAAGCTTCTATGAGAGAGAAGTCACTATATAACTCTACTAGTCCACGTAGTCTTAAAAACATGGAAAATATGGACTCAACACAGGAAGTTATAGACTTGGCTACAAGTTGAGTTTTAAATAAAATCCCTACACTGTATCTCAAAATATTTACAGGAACCAATGTTTTGATTTTTCTCTAAGTGTTAGTACCTATGCAAGAGGAAAGGCAATCTATGTACCACATCTACTAACACGTAATCATCCATATTTACTAATACTTAATTAGCCTCTGAACCTATGGGAAATAAGATACATTGCTTTTGTCAATTACTAACTATTCCCGTTTTGGAGTATGCGTCTGTTTTTCAGATACCAAAAAAACTGTCATGAAATATAAACATAAAATTATACTCATTTCATAATGACAGAATAAAATTTGCTTTTAAAGAACAATATTTTTCCTAGGGATATCAATGCATTTCTTTAAAGCTTTTTTAAAACTATTAACTGACATATTCATTTAACATTATAAAAGTTACAAAAAGAAATCATAAGGATCAATATTATTTAATCAGGTCATTTTAATAATATGTTAATTGTTAATAAAAATTAATAAAACTATCAGATTTAATTTTTTTATTATAAAGGAGAATTACTTTTCAATTTCACTGAAAAGCTCTCTCTCTCTCACATGCACACACCCACACCCACACCCACACCCTCACACACACAGTTAACCACTCAATAAATGGCCAAGTACACAGAGCACACTAATGTGATGATTTTTGGGCTACTCAATAAATTTTGAAGCTTTTCATTCCAAAACATTTAGAATTTATTCTTGTGTTTTTCAAATGAGATTCACCGTGAGAGAAGATGAAAAATACAAAACAATCATAAGCAGAAAGCAAGACAGATTAAGAAAAGCCGCCTAGGAAATGGCTTTGGTTTCCAGCTGATTTCTTTCAGTGTTCCCCTGGCTGTGGAGGATCCAGCCAACTACTCCTTCCACCTGGAGCCCACGGCCCCAAGGCTAAGGCCCTTCTCACTCCACCAGGAATCCTGCTGGGAGTTTGCACCTTCATGAGAGGGCTATCAAAGCCACAAACACTGCCTCTCTTGATGAGGGCTTGGCAGAGTCAGCCTGGAACAGCAAGGGGACCAACACAACACACAGAGTCCTGCATCACTAACAATAAGCAGTGCTTTGAGTTAGTAATGGCCTCATTTAACATGGATGGGCCTGACCCTCCCTCACACCTGTCACTCACAGCTTAGATAAGGCCTACTTGGCTTTCATTCCCCTTCCCGAGAAGGAGCCCTTCTGGGTAGTTTAATGGGAGAAAAATGGGAAGAGGTTGGAAAAGGAGTACTTTTAGAAAATGTGACAAAGAGTCTAAAGGAAGAGCCAGAGTTGGCAATGGTAGGAAATGCTTTAAAAAATGTGAAAACTCTGTTTCCTAAACCAAACAAAACCTGGAGAGTGGATGCCATCGGAAGGAACAGGAAGTAGGAAGTAAATAGTAAGCAGAGAATGAAGATCAGCGAAAGGGAGACTTCCCCTGGCTTGTTTGCTCAAAGAGCAGATTTTCCTCTTGGGAAGGGAAGTGGGACTCAGTTAAACCAGAAACCTAAACACAGCCATTCTCACCCTCGTGCAGCGTCAGCACAAACACAGAGGACAACAAATCTCATTCAGGAAATGCTGTTGGTTTTTCATGGGAGCAGTTATAGTTTCTTGCTTGGTTTCCTGAAGGGTTCCAGGGGTAGGTAGAGGAGGGGGCGGGAGTGTGGGGCCCACCTTGTAGTAGTCTAGAGCAGGGGTAGGTAGAGGAGGGGGCGGGACTGTGGGGCCCACCTTGAGTAGTCTGGAGCAGGGGTAGGTAGAGGAATTGGCGGGACTGTGAGGCCCACCTTGTATTAGTCTAGAGCAGGGGTAAGTAGAGGAGGGAGCGGGAGTGCAGCACCTACTTTGTAGTAGTCATAGAGCAGGCCAAGGGCAGCTGCGCTGTCTTCGTCCCCATTGATGCTCATCATGGCCTTGGTGGCTGCTGTCAGGGGGTTCTCCAGGTACGACTTCCACGCTTCATCCTCGCTGGTGTAGGCTCTTCGGGTGTTGAATGGAGGGTCACTGGGCATGGGCACCAGGGCCACTAGTCTTTTATTACTGTCAAACAACAGAAATGTGAAGTTTGTTATCAGAGGAATGCTCCTTCTTCCCACTAATAATACACACATTTCATGTATTGTTAAAAGCACTAACATTTCTCCAGAATGGGGGAGAAAGGAGGGAAGATTAAAATTAAAGTTGATGGCCACTTTGCATTTAAGAAAAGCACCGGTTTTTTTTTCAGTCTCGGAGACTTAATAATAGTATGTAAAGGGTGCTACAGTTCAATGCTGGTCCCTCTAAGATCTCACGTTGAAATGTAGCTGGGGGCTGGCACCGCAGCTCAATAGGCTAATCCTCCACCTGCAGTGCTGCCACAGCAGATTCTAGTCCCAGTCAGGGTGCCAGTTCTGTCCCGGTTGCCCCTCTTCCAGGCCAGCTCTCTGCTGTGGCCCGGGAGTGCAGTGGAGGATGGCCCAAGTGCTTGGGCCCTGCACCTGCATGGGAGACCAGGAGAAGCACCTGGCTCCTGGCTTCGGATGAGCACGGTGTGCCGGCTGCGGCGGCCATTGGAGGGTGAACCAATGGCAAAAGGAAGACCTTGCTCTCTCTCTCTCTCTCTCACTGTCCACTCTGCCTGTCCAAAAAAAAAAAAAAAAAAAAGAGAGAGAGAGAGAGAAAAGAGAAAAGAAAGAAATGTAGCTGGAATCGTATTGAGAGGTGGGAACCCTGAGAGAGATGCGGGGTCCCGAGGGCTGTGCCTCATGTGAGAACCGACGCTGTTGTCACTGCAGTGGGTTTGTCGCCATGGGAGCAGGTGTGCCCTCCCTCTGCACTTCCACCTCCTGCCTTCTGCCAGAAGACGCAGCAAGAAGCCTCTGTCAGACACTGCTCCTGGACTTTAGACTTCCTAACCTCCAGGACTCAGAGCCAATAACTTTCTATTCAACTACCCAGGCTCAGGTATTCTATTAGAGGAACACAAAACACACTAAGACAGTTGATCCCTTTCAAATTGGTGTTCCATGTCCAATCATTCTAGGGGTTAACTAATTTTCTTTAATTAGTCTTCATTAATGAACACTAGAATGGAATCCTGTGAGAGCAGGTTTAATTTAACTTTCTGAAGTCTAATTATAAATGTAAGATACATTAAATGCAACCAATACATTAATGGTTATTAAAAACAATATTACCTAGTTTAATCTATCCTTGAAATTGCCAGCAAATTATGGACCACTCCAAATCTCTTAATTAAAAAAGGCAATATAAGCTGCTTGGTAAACACAGCATATTACAGATAATGTTATATAATAAGGATATGGAGCAAGAGTAATGAGACAGACTATATATACAAATTCCGTGCTGCTAAAGGATTCTGCTACATTTAAATGATATAAAAACGACAAAGATTATCATGGAAAGTAAGAAGAATATTTGCAGAATTTTCGGTAGAGATAAAAAGGGAGTTGGAGTCAGTCCTAATGAACCAGGCTTTGCCGAAAGTCAGCAATTAACAAATAAAGTCTTAAGAAAGTCTTAAAATGAGTGTGATAATGAGTTTAATATCCAAAGATCATGACAGTCTTCAACAGCTCCCCAAGCTGGGACCCCAGGTGTTAAGTTATATTAAAAAAAAAAAAAAAAAAAAAAAAAAAAAAAACCAGAGCAGCTTTGTCACTAATCTCTTGGCCATCTCTTCTTTGTCTGTTGAAATGGAACCAAAATAGAATAATGGGACATTGTATTTCAGAAACACTTATGTCAGCATATAGCAACAGGACGCAGGACAGAGACTAGTGACAGAACTGGTGAAGGTGACAGCAACACTAACCAGCAGAAATCCAAACACCAAGGCCTTCTAATGCTATACAGTTATAAAAGACGTCCCTTGTTGCAGGCATTCTCATAGGGTCTCACAGTGGTAGAAAACCCCTCTGCTTATTTGTGATGGAGAACTGGTGTGAACGCTCAATGAAGAGTGTGTTGAGAGCCCTTTATGTGCTGGCCTGGTGCCGTGCATGGCTGCAAGGTCAGAAAATGCCCATGGCAATGGGAAGATAGATTCAGGGATGGGGTGAAGTACACGGGACACACATTTAGCAGAGTGGCCTCCTGGACTCAATGGTGTCCAGGCCTCTGGTTTGGACTCTATATGTCACTGGTTTGGGGGAACTGATTGGGACAAAAGAGAGAATAGTGACTCAACTGAAAAGGAATTGGATTAGCCAGCGCCGCGGCTCACTAGGCTAATCCTCCGCCTAGCGGCGCCGGCACACCGGGTTCTAGTCCCGGTTGGGGCGCTGGATTCTGTCCCGGTTGCCCCTCTTCCAGGCCAGCTCTCTGCTGTGGCCCGGGAGTGCAGTGGAGGATGGCCCAGGTGCTTGGGCCCTGCACCCCATGGGAGACCAGGAAAAGCACCTGGCTCCTGGCTCCTGCCATCGGATCAGCGTGGTGCACCGGCCGCGGCGGCCATTGGAGGGTGAACCAACGGCAAAAGGAAGACCTTTCCCTCTGTCTCTCTCTCTGTCCACTCTGCCTGTCAAAAAAAAAATAAAAAGAAAGAAGAAGAGGAGTGATAAAGGAGGTTCCTTGATAAAAGAGAAAAATCTGTCAAAAAGAGAAAATTCTGGTCAAAGGGTTTCCTGATCAGTAGGCAACCTGGTGACTTCAGGTTGTGCAGGTCCTTGAAAGCCGAGTAGATACCAGAGCTTCTGTTTCTCCTGCCTTAAATACAAACAGCAATGCCCACTCTGCTCACTCACAAAGTGCTTGTGAGAATCAAATAAAATAATTGATAAAACAGGCATCTATGAGCCACGCAGTGCTGTGCAAGTACGATGCAACCCGCTCACTGCCCAATTCTATGCTCCCAGAAAGTTTGGGGGTAAAGTTGATTATAATTCAAAAGTGCTAAAGACAATCACCAATTAAAGGTAAATGAAGCAATTCACTTTGCAACATTCCAGAGCCCAATAGGTGTCAGCTTTGTGCTGATAGGGATAGGGATGGCGTGAATAAGACAGATTGTGAGCCTCACCCAAGCAGCCTGCAGTGTAGCAGGAGAGAGAGTACTGCTGCTGGGTACACGACAAACAGGCCTAACCTAATCAGATAGTCACTTGTCTCTACCTGGACTTGACCGAGAGGACTGTGCTGGTCAGTGCTGAAATGGAAGGGGTAGGAACCATGTCTTTTCATGTGGAGAATATGTTGATGGTGACCAATAGTGCAATTTTCTTACAAAAGGAACAGGTTTGTGTTCATTCTGAAAAGCCCACTAGAGAAATGTGCATATTTCCGGATAATAATCAAGCAGCATCTCATGGTGTAGAAAATACTAACCAGATAGGATAGGGTTGGATTTGGAAACAAGAAATGGTGCTGGACTCCTGTGAGTCCAGGAGCAGAAGAAATGAGGCACCTAGGGAAAGCTGAGAGGTGCTGGGGCAGGGGCCACCCTTCCCCACGGTTGTTCACTGTGGCCAGTCCTGTGGCCGGCAGGGAGTGAAACAGAGGAGTCTGAGCCCCGGGCGTGGTCCACAAGGGCCCAGGCAGGATGTACACTTCCGCAAAGGCCAAGCCTGCTGGAAGGAGGAGCTTGGAAGTATCTGCAGCGAGCTGGTCATCGACAAAGATGAGATTGATTCTCTTTAATGCCAGAGGGAAGCACTCACAAGGCGTCTTCAAAAGCACCAAAGGCAACTTTTTCATGAAGTGCAATTGGAACGTCTGTAGAAAGTGTTAATCTCAGGGAAACTGGGTAGAGAACCAATACTATCTTCGCCAATACGGCATCAGAGAAGTGGAACAGAAACGAAGTAGGAGACTTTCTGAAAAAGATGTCAGATACTAAAGCAAATGATTAACCTGTCAGATCTCGAAGAAGTAAGAGACACAAAACTTCCTTCGTTTGCCATTTAGGTCTTGTACGTTGTACAATAAAACTTGGGAGGAGGGAAACTTGCAGGGCAGGAGTGTGGTGCAGTGGTTAAGTCCAGGCTTGGGATGCCCTCGCCCACATCAGAGTGCCTGGCTTGAGATCGGTTCCACTTCTGATCCAGATTCCTGCTAACATGCACCCTGGGAAGCAGTAGGAGATGGCTCAAGTACGTGGATTCCCACCAGCCAAGTGAGACTGGGATATGGCTCCTGGCTCCTGGCTTTCACTTGACCCAGCCCTGACTATTATAGGCGTTCGGGGAATGAACCAGTGGATACTCTTTGTCTTTCTTTCTGTGTGTCTCTCTGCCCTACAAATAAAATGCAAATAGTCTTTTAAAAGTTCATGGAGAAAGCATATTATGAAAAAACCATGGATTTCAATTTTTTCTGTACCAAAATAAACTTCTCTCAATTCCATTTTTCCATGAACTTTGGTTTTTTTGTTTACAATTTATTTTATTTGTGTGGGGAGCAACTCGGACTAGACTAAGTTACTGGAATTAAGACTTATTCTATGCATCTGCTCTCCCACAATATGGTGCTGAGAAGGGAGAAACAGCTTCTACACAGCTGCCTCAAGTTCAACCAATAAACTGTAGGACCTGCTCCTGATTGGAGGAGAGCAGCGTACTTGGCGTGTGGGTAGCAGAGTTGGGATTGGTGGAAGAGGACTATAAAGGAGGAGAGAGACAACATGCACCAGGAACATCTGAGGGAACATCTATCTGAAGGAACACCTGTGCAGCCCCCGAGAGAGCCGGCCGGCGGTGTGCCGCTCCCCCGCGGAAGTGGGGAAAGTGGCTAGGGGGAACCACCCTTCCACGGAGGTGGAAGGGACGGTAGCCAACCCGGGAAGAACCAGCAGCAAACCCGGGAAGGGCCGAGCAGACAAAAGAACAGCGCAGGGTCCTGTGTCGTTCCTCCACGAAGAGGGGGAGCTACAATTTGAAAGTCAGAGAGAGAGGGATAGAGAGAGAAGAGAGATTGATCTTCCACCTGCTGATTTGCTCCCCAGGTGGCCACAATGGCCAGGGCTGGGCCAGGTAGAAGCCAGAAGCCAGGAGCCAGGAGCCAGGAGCCTCGTTTGGGTTTTCCACATGTGTGGCAGGGGC